AACCCGCACGCATTACCTGTGGGCGGCTTGTTGCATGTATTGAATCAGCTGCTACCTGGACTACCCAACTATAGCCGAACATTCATGCGATCTCCTGGAGCTACATGAACTGCTGCAATATCTACTAGCATCTACGGCTTTTGTGGTTGCGACATGTGTTGCGCAGCGTTCTGCGCAAGGAACGCATGCCTGCCAGCGCTTTGTGTTCGTAGGTGGTTACACATCGATGGTTTAGCCTTTTCGGTCACCGAGGCTGCAAATTTAGCGCATCATGTTTCATGTTCTTTTCACCGTTACCACATCTTCTGTTGGCGTCCAATGGTAGTCGGTTGAATTCAAGCCATGCAGGGATTAGGATTTCCTCGCTTCAGCCAGTACTGTGTCACTGGGTGCTACCACTTGGAGTGCTCCTGCAAAGCTGTGTTTCCCAGCACACAGTTGGTTTAACAAATGTTATGTTGGACGCACTTGTGCGCTCATTTTTGAAGCGGGCGAAGTGTCTCAGGATATTGCAGTTGCGTCAATTTTGTGAAACGTGGTGCCAATGCGGTAGGGAAAGTAACGCCTAAAAGCGGACCACTGTGGACTAACTGATCGACAATTTTATTTTGCACTCAAGTAGACTAATATCTATTTGTGTGCCTACCTCTGTTAGGGTTGCAGCATTCCCTACGTAGTACATGCAGCTTACGTATCGTAGTCTTAGATGTAACATCAGACTCACCCTGACTCACGGTTCCTAAAAGCGGCTGAGGTCGCATTCACGGTAAGCGTTTCAATTTTTGATCATTTTTCTGCAAGCGCTATGGAGCACTTGAAGAATAAAGCGAAGTCCATGGACGATTATTTCCTTGTTCACCGAAACCTGGTATACACTTGCAGTTAATAATTAGAAAATGATGGAGACGCAAGAGTAAATATAACGCTGCATGAAATCCATGCTGTAACCATTTCCGGCGAACAACCGCAGAAGGCAACGCAGCTTCTTCTGCCAAGTTCCTAGGTGAAGGAGCCGTAGTCCCACAACATAATAATGCAGAATGCAGCACGCAGGCAACAAGTGGTAGGATGTTTTTCTACGTCACCACTGCATGCAGCATACTTATCTGGAAGGTGTGCACGGAGATACCTCGTCGGGGACGGTACAGCTCAAACGTAGCGTCACATGCCGAGGCCATTGATGGTGAAGAGAAATTACTCAGGTGCATGCAACAAGAACGGATTTCAGAAAACGGGACTTTTCACCCAAATGCGAGGTGAGCAACCTCATTCGACTTTCTTCCTTATCATACCTGTAAGGTTCTCGCGCACGTATGGGTGAGGTCATGCACACTCAACCCCAAGTGGCGGCCTACTAAGCAGCTACGAGGTAAGAGTGGGTCAAAAACGCGGCACGATCGCAACGAATACACGTAGTACCGATAGAACTTCAAGCGTGGTTCTTACCTTTTCGATACATGCGATCCTTGTGCTTGGTGAACGATCACGGTTCTTCAGCTTGATTAGCAGATGAAGTCGTATAAAGGAACCTGGGGGAGTATGCATGTCATCACGAAGCGGCATACTTGCGGGTACTTTTGACGTCTTTAGGTATACTTGACTACTCCCATCATGTATGATCCCGATGACGTGGTAGGTATAAGTGTAAGAACCGTCATGTAAGGGTGGCACCGCGTGTGATAGTAGTGGGTGTGCCTAACGATCAAGCGGATTCAGGCGTATGGTAAAAAGGCATCGAAATGGGAAGCAAGTAAAAGGACGACGTACACACGCCGAAGGTAGGTGAAATGCTGCTGTCCGTTGTAGGACTTGCACAGCTGATGATACCAAATGCCGCAGACGGAGCACATGACCCAGTCAACTATCTGTCGGCTCCGTGCCGTGCAGTCTGCTTATACGCAGAAAGGGCACTTGGCGTTGTCGTAGTTTGTTGGGCGGTTTGCATGGCAACGACACTTCGTTGGAGGCTTATACACTGCGGTGGTGGTATGCGGATGTCTAAAACAAAGTGGGCGCTCTTGTTCCTCCTGATAGGCTGATACATTCCGAATGGACACTAGGCGTTGCCTACGTACTCTGCCTTTCCTGATAGGTTCACAGCTCTTTTCTGCTGCTCCTTCATCTATGGTTTCGGAAGCAACTTTCTCAACATCATCGTGAGAACCGGTAAAGTTTTGCAGCAACATCCTCAACTGTTCCACCACCCCCGTGAATTTTGCATCGCCAAAGCTACAAACCTGCACATGCATTTACTCCAGAATCTGATTGCACTCAAGCAACTTTGCTCCCTAGTTACTGGAGTCACTGTGGAAGTGGACCGCAGGAAGACGATGGCGGACGATGTAGATACGGTTACACGCATAGGTTGCGCGTGCGACACAATGTAGCGGTTTTTGCACAATATCGCGTCCACCGGCAGGCAAGCCGCGTGCAATGTATGCACTATGTGTGCGCACGAAATTAGCCATTGCTGACCAATGCTGCATTGACATGCTATGTCCCCCTCGGATTGACAAGGTGGATGGTTTCCGGCATCCTTGGAATTCACATCTACCATTGGACATGTTGGGCGCATTCAACTTTTTCTTTATGCATTGGGATCGCAAAGGCATCCTAGCGCACCATGAAAACTGAAAAGCAGCCTGTTTGAGACTATCAAAGCAGGGAACTAACGAGTACCCGACAAAGTCAGCTTTGCGCACCTACTTGTACCACTGCGAGTAGACGTCAACTACGCGATGGACGACCGCGGTGGATAGATCTAATAACGTTGTTCGCTCCGAAGGACCGCGCTTTATGGGCTTATTTCCGTCCTTCACCCGGTTTGTCGTATAGCAGCCGAACAACCGGCTTGACCTCAGGCGGTGCGCTGCATATAATGAGATAAACGGCAAACAAGTCCTCACTAAGTATGTGTGTGACTATGTGCTTCGCACTTTACTGGATGTCAAGTATCTATCAAACAACGTAGAGCTGCCGGCGTACACTATTTTCCGCACGCGCTGTTTACTGAGCATCCTGTCCGCCACAGTTTTGGACGCTAGCGAGTTGCAGCGACAGGTGACATCCCGCAGTAAATGGAAACGGCACGAAACAATGCGCGCAGAGGAGTACAAGGATTGAAAAGCATGGACCTGCTTCATGCACTCGTCAGTCAGCGCTGTCCGTGAAGCTTCAGTCGCTGGTAACATAAGGCGTAGGTTGCGCACAAGGTTCACGTACGATGCACTTGGCTTATGCAGAAGCTAGGCGTTGAAAAATGAACGTCCTACACCAGGTACCACTACAAACATGCAGGGCCATATTATGTAGCCAAAGCAGTGTATTTGATGTGCCGCACTCGCCAGCAGTATCGCACTTCAATACTCCACGAGGTGAAGTACTTCCTCCAAAAGAAAAACAGGAACCGTATCTCCGATTCCTCGTACTTCACATTACGCTGACCGACGATCTCAACCCACCTTATTACAGCTTTCAGTGTTTCCGTCCATCATCTCCCTCACCTTACTTCTAATCGTTCGCAGGTCATAACGGTTCACTCTTACCGCTTGTAAGTGTATCCTCTTCGCCGGCATTGAAGGCATCTATAGTGTACGGATCTGTACTGCACACCCGCAGGCAGCTCTTTACGGTTTTTCTTCCGATACGCTTCCGGTGTCAGGACATGTGGGTTGGAAAGCATGGCGCAGTTCATACTTGGAAGCGCTCCAACTCACTTTCGAATTTCTCAAAAGTGCGGGACACACGCTGAAGGAAAACGTCACGGAAAGCAGCGTTATTGTCGACAGTCATGACAACGACCGCATCCACCAACGCCCTCTGTGATGCTATCAACCTACCTTCCTACCCATGGAAATCCATGTCAGTTTTGCAACCCACAGGCTCTTTTCCGCATTAACAGCTCGGATATCGCAATGTGTTCGCTTTTCTTTTACAAGGGCAGTGGTGTGCTCTCCGCTAAGGCAACCGCTCCGGCGCCTGCTTATCACCGGATGTTGTGGAGAGCGGTCACGCTCGTCCGTGGTGGCTATATTGCCGCGGTAATCCGCAAGTGTCCTCCCTGTTACCGGTATAACATTTTTAATACAATTGTACTTTTGATATTAGGGTAACTTAAATACATGCTATGTAGGTATATAGCAATACGACCACGTATAAGGTTTAATTATTGCGCTTTTGCTTTCTTTGGACCAAACATTACGAAAGCGTGCCCGAGAACGTTTCTCCCTCGCAGTGTGTTTTGGTGACGCTATCTTACCTATGACCGGCATAAGCACAAATTATAGTCCTACGTATGCAATGAATGGTGAGTTGTTTGCCTATTGTTACCTTGGCTTTAGGTAGACATGCAGACGGACACCAAGAGCTTGTCCACGCCCTTGAGTTTTATTCCTACTGCCCCTGCTACTTAAGACGTTTACAGCAGTAAGTCTTAAAGAACTGTTATGAATCACATTAGCTATCTTTATCAACAATAAATCGACGCCAATGGAGACGGCGGACGAGAACATGACGTTCATTTTGGCTACGGACATAACGTCTAACCTCCGTGAATTTCTTCATTGTACGGTTGTGCGGCACTAGCCACTTGTTTTGTTCGTGTGCCGATTACTGCTTGGTCTTCGTCCCTGCCATCCAACCCTTCTGAAATGCTATAGAGTGCTGAGTAATAGACCACGGGTTACGGAAGTGTTGCATGTAGAACCCGGAACTTACTCATAAGTTGGCCTTAAACACGGGTTGTTCTGCTCATTGTAAGGTCAACGCTTGCAACGGAATTCCAGACTTCGCATCCAAGTTAACTTCAATGGGTTCTTAACCTTCAATTTCCCCAGAAGCCAGCCTTGGGCCATTATTTGACCTGGTGTCGTTCTCATAATATCCCATTCAGTTCTCCCCGGATTCATTTGCGGTTCTCGTAAACCGGAGGATGATGATGCGTTTTGCAACTATTCTATGAGGAACTGCGCGGCAAGCAAAGCAACGGCTTCCATTTGACGATGGATTTAACCATCACGGACGCCGATGCCAGTGCGGCGATACGTGACTCCACGCACGGGCCCACGTGAGTAAAAGCAAAATGCATGAGAGTAAGGCCGCGGCCCCAAATGCACACTACATGGTAACCACGTTGATGCCAAGGTAAATTTTCCTGTAACAGGTTGTCCATAGCGCACTAACGAGTCGATCCAAGCCAACCCTATGGACTTGCGATTGCCATTCGTAATCGTTTGGGTGAACATCGTAAACGCTTGCCAGATAGACAACAGGCAGGCAGTGCGTTTGTTAGTTACGCAACCCATGGTGAACCTGTGTGTGGCTGTCCCTTTGGGCCGACGCTACCGCTTGTGCAAAAATAACGGCAAGAAGCTGGATAAATTGATTATAGTGAACGACAGCAACTGCTGTACAGACTTAAATCGCAGGTGCCGTGGAGTGGGCACTTATTGGCATAGGAAGGCCGTGAAGTACGGGCAAGGCTTGAAAATGCCGGTCACGCACTTTCTGGGCATACATTTGTCCATCTGTCTCCTTTGCCACCCCAGCTATCACCAGGCGCATCTGGCCTTTGCAGGGAAAGTTAGGGAACGGCTCATGAAACACTCGTTTTCGATATGGTGTTGAGGAACTAACGGGCAACGTCCATTTGTTGAGCTATTTATGGAACGATGGGACGCTTCATTGCTCGCAATGCAACTTCACGGCTTTTCTTTTCAATCGCATATCGGCATCATAAATAGATGGATACACAGCGCGGTAAATCCTGTTGCGTACGCGTTACTGCGCCTCCAGGGATTCCGTATGCTGAAAACGCAAACGCGCGCACTATTATGGCACCAACAGTTGTAATTTTTGACAACTGCGGTTAACTGTCTTCCGGTTTACCAGAACAACGTTTTCACCTAGGAGGCCGGATAGCACCGCTATCATTGATAGAAAACCGTTCATGCTTGTGAGCGTAGAGGCCTTGCCTAGTGTAATTGGGTACACCTACTGCAGACCGTTTATGGGCCTCAGCAACATCTACAGCCGTACAGTCACCTCTTCTCAGATGTGTGTTTTCCGGTCATCAGGGGCGCAAGAGGAGTCCTTACGGCAACACATTGGCTCCTTGTAACGTAAATCCATCGACATGGAGGTTTTTGGCAACTATGATGTAACTCCCGTGTTGCACACACCCTGTTAAACGAAGTTGCGTATTCTGAATGATTGAACGAAACATTTTAAAAGTTTCATTACAAACAGTAATTTTCCTTTTAATGTCTGCTTTATTTAGGCCATTCATATACAGATTTGTTTGAATAATCCACACTTTTGTGCCCTGGAAACTGGATTTGACGGCCTCCCACATACGCCGTCATGAGCGGCATAAGGCTGCTGGGGGCGGTGCAACTGCAATAGTTCCCAGCTTGCATCCCCAGAAGATGCCTCGTCTTGTCACAGCCCATGCTTCGGCAACACAAGTTGCTCCCTTATATAGTTCACTTGTTATCCACCAAACAGGTAAGTCGGGGAAATGGTAACTTTTTAGATGATTACGCCGGCGCCATATGCGTACAACGTGTCCTCTCAATCCAGTCGGCTAATGCCGGACCAAACAAACGACATTTTATGCCAAAAGCATTGACGCCGAAAACGTACTGCTTTCCTTTAAATATTCTGTTACTGCCTTTCTTAGACGACGTGCCTCTGTTGAGTTTCCGCCACAGCCTATAACCAACAGTCTCAAGCGACCGGATCCTTCTAAGTTCGCTTTAAATGTGGTTATCCCCCCGTTTGATCTACCCACGGTGTCAGATACGAACTGCGCTGTGCCAGTAAGCACATCCCGTGACCCGTTTATTGGGAAATCCGCAGCATCTGCTACTCATTGGCACAGGGCTATTGGTGGACATCCGGGTATGTGGTCCACCGATAACATTCTGTGAAAACATAAGTAGATAGTAGAGCGTATCCGGAAAATATGCTTCCATATAAAGGTCGCTTAGAAGCAGGTACACCTTGGTACATTTTTACACGTTTGTAGCCGCAACATGCATGCCTGAAGGCTGGACGTCGGACGCTTCAGAAACCATGCCCCTGTTTTAAGCAATACTTCGTAAATAAATCTGTTAAGCATACCACATTTTTGCTGTTGTGGAAGTCCATAGACGGTTGAAGACTTGCTTCGCTGCCATCAGAAAAACGCTTCAGAAGCTATACGATGGGGTGCAAACACCTAATGCCCACTCCTCTTCGATTCCGCAGCTACCGGTTTCTTTCGCGACGAAGCTACAATCATTTGATGACACTCTAGCTGATGCGACAGAAGCAAACTATCCGTAGATTATTTACGCTGCTTCTATATACCCTTTTGCCCGCTTCTCTAGAGGACATTACTGGTTTGACGGCGAAGGATGCCGTCAACCGAATGTTTGATCTTATCATGACAACTTCTGGCTCGTATGGATCAATTTCATTCAGGAAATGTCTTTTCATTCAGGCGTTTACGATGTAATGCAAGACAAGGCAACCACGCGTTAATCATAAGGTCTTCAGTGGTACTTCTTCATAGGGTAGTTGGCTGTTCCAGGAACGCTGGCCATGACGAGTTTCGCGCTTTTTCACGAACGTTTACGCGTGTTAGGCAGCTATAGCAACCGTCGCACACCTGACGCCGAAGGAATTCAGTGAAACATAAGCTAACAGGCTACACACCTACATAACCTCTGTTAGAAGGTGGAAATGGTGCAGCTGAAATACTTCATAGACCAGTGCCAAACTAACTAAACTTTGTACCGTTTTTTCTCATCATCATCATCTCAGTTATTCACCCTGCAGTCTTTACACGTTAATAGAAGTGAGGAGCGCGGAACCAGTGAGTCACAGGCGTCGAGATACAAGGGCGTTACGCTGATTTCTTGCTATCGCCTTAACATATTTGCTTTTGTTTTCTTATTGACCAGCAGTTTAGGTTGCTTCTTTGCAGTGTGAAAGTCCCATCCAGATATGCGGAAATCCGTGCTGTAATCTCTTCTTTTTAACATCGTCGCCTGTGATATAACTGCTCATCGTCACTGCACGTTTTGCATCCATCTTTATCCATCTTTTTCCCTAGCTGGTCAATTTTACCTCCCCAGCCTTTGCGTTAGCTTCATTCACCCCAACTGATGAGACCTGCTCACCGGCAGGGAACTAAGTGTACAGCATACGGAACCGGTAGCTTTCATGGTTGATCCTTTAAGCGTGTGAAATGCAAAGGATAATAACGCAGGCTTACAGCGGAGTAGACGAGCGTGTAGATACGAATAGAGCAGGAGGTTGCTTAGTGTTACGCAAAAGTACGCTATCCTGACCATTTACATTGCCTAATGCTGACGATTTGGCGCAACTAGCGCCATTCAACGCCAGTGTAGCTTTTCGCTGCATAATGCACACAAAGCAGTCACCTTGCGCTGTTGGGGTTCGTGCTGACATTTGATGAAAAGTATGCGTGAGATAAATTTTTGCTTGTATCCCTGTAAAATTTTAAGGTATCACGCTTACTTACTTAGACTGCAAATATATATCGTAACCCGTAAGGTTATCGACCTCCTACGACTCATCGTCTTGTGGTATGTAAACTTTGTGTATACAGTCGAGTATGTGCATGTGCGTCGCTTTGCCCGTATGATGCTAACCTTCTAGTCAATCGTCAATTCTGCGAAGTATTATCCGCCCCTTAATGGCCAAGCACACTGTAGAGCAGGTTATCTGTCCTGCAGCATTCCTCGCAATAGGAGACATAGGGCCCTTTGTTTCCCTACGTATGCTTTAGCTAACCCCAAAGCTAATGTATGTTAGCAGGTTTCAACGTTATGTGCATCCCTCGCCTAATATTCAGTTGAAGCAAGTCAGTACATGTGCTCCCACCCACATGATTTAAGACATGCTCTTTCGCGGTTCCCTCGCGAAACACTATGTGTTGGAGACTCAAGTTACTGACTCGCCAACCGGAAGCAAGTTCACAGCATACGCCTATATCAGATGACTGCAGTGAGTATATTCAGGATGTCCGGGAGATGAGTATGCACAAGTAAACCTGCTGGTAATTACGCAGAGCTATATATGTGTACGTCTGAGCTGAAATCTCATCGCTAGGTAGTAGTCTGATGCTTGACCGTTACATGCACAAGGCAGTGAGTAACCTCTGTGTTCCTCATTACAAGCTACCGTAGCAAACTGAGGTAAGTTTCAGGCGCATCACGAAATGTCTGAGGCAGCAGCACCCGTGTCACTTGGTGAACACATTTAGCGCGCCATGTACATTCCAGTTCCAGTCCGCATATGTACACAGTGGAGTGTGCAATGACATCCTTCCTTAACATGCTGTTACAAGTATGCGCCCCCTCCTGCAGAGGGTTCCGCAGTGAAGCCTTGCCGACATTTCCGCCACTAGGTATGTTTCCCGGCAAACAAGCTGATGCATGCCAAAGCATTTTCTTCGCCCACCGCCGTGCAAATAAACAAATCTCAGACAGCCTATGCAGGTAACTTGCGAGCCAAAACTTATTACATGGCAGCCAAAGCAGATCTATTTGACCGATTTTCTAGTAAACTTGAGACAATTTTGCAACAAATGTGTGTTTGCAGGTTATTACATAGCTTTTGTCCTTCAGTTCGCTTAGTCTATAACAGCTGGCGTAACAAAAATGGAAGGCATAAAAACATGTTCGAGTTTATTGCCGGATGCAGTTAACAGCCCTTTGCTGTCTTCACCCCCAAGTGTGCCCCTCCCCATCGCAGCAGTTGGGGATCTGACAGCACTACACCAGGCGCTGGAAGAAAAAACAAAAGCACCGATTTGGTAGGGACCAATTTTTAAGCATGAGTCCGGTAACATATGCAATTTGTGGCAAACGTAACTTACACCATCCTAATGCACAGTTTACGGCGTATGATGGAGCGCGTGGTACGCTGGACCGTTGTGCGTCACATCAACTTTTTAAAGTAAATCGGCATTCCAGCAATGGAGCGCCTGTGACGTCGTCCAGGATGAGCAAGCCTTATATCCCACGGGTGTACGCTTTTATTCTCAGGTTTGCTTATAAGGCGTGTCCGAAGAAGCGATACTACTCCGAGTAAGTAACGCTCTGCTTATGCAAATACTCGCAAAATGCACGTACGCAATCTGCATACTCACTAGAATCCCCATGAACGAGGAAACGTCTGGGGTAACATTGCCTTCGTCCCGATTGTAGCCGGCCCTTTTCGTAGGGCATGGATGTCAACGCTAGCCACGTTGATTTGGCTAACAGTCCCAGGTAACCCCTTGTATGGTAACCGTGCATGTAATACCTGTTTCTTTAAAGCAACTGACCAGCGCGTGCGATGTTTCAACATATTGGCTCCCGACATTTTGAGGTTTCGACCTCAAAACAGCGAACTGCTATGGCATTCGTGCGTAGATTGTAGCAGACGCGTCGCTTTTCGCTCAAAGGCTGTTCAATGCGCCCTGTGCGAAGGATGGCTGCACACAACCCGTTGTAACCTCGATAAGGCCTTATACGAATGCCTTTAACTTTCTGCCTCTCAGGTCGTAAGCTGTCGTTGTGACTCGCGGCGAGCATGGCTAATTGATAAAAGTCTTTTGGCTAAGCCTCATCCCCTCAATATATGTAGCGCTGCCAACCTGCCCGTGTCTAACGTCGAAGATAAATTACCCACCGTATCGGTAGCCCTACCTGTAACTAGATCTGTCACCCCTAGACCAAAGCCAAGCCGCACTCCCTCCACCACCTCGGTAGGATTCCACCTGCAAGTGCATTGAAATGTAGACCGAAAAACAATCCCAAGACTGATGCTGCCTTGACGAGCGTCACAGCTTCAATGACCTCAAGTCTGAGTCCAGCTGTAAGCAAGCTTCCACGAAAGTTTGCTTCAAAGTCCGAGGTGAAGCCTAACACCGCAAAACAGAGGTGAAATTTGTACTTGCCAAAGTAACGCAATTTCAGCAGCAGCTCGAAAAGCAGACTTGCACACAAAATCCATCGTCACTGGGTAGAAACAGCACTCCAGCCCTCGACCGCAGCCTTATCCTCCCTACCGTACATGAACCCAACGAAGACACCGCTGCTGAGAGGATACTCGATGAGCATGACTTCCTCAACCTAATGGGAGCAAACCTGTTTGATGAGGACAAGCAGGGGTTAACATCACCTTGGTAAAAATGTAATGTTCCGTCTAAGTTGCGTCCACTGAAACCCATTTTTCAAGACGAGGATGAATTCCGTCGCTTTAGGAGACTCGCTTCATCTCACAACGAGGAAAGCTTTCATGTCTTGAAAGACCTCTCTCCAGAAGACCGAGCCAAACTAAGCTAAGCTAATATTTAGCTCTAAACTTTTCGTGTGAATAGAGAAGCCGACCTCCATATTGTGGGTTTTGCGTAGTGCAGAAAACTCCGAGAGCTCAATGGAAGCCAACTCTACTTCTCCCCCGAACCCAAAGCGTAAATCCTGAACTGCGTGTGCTACTTGTAAACTTGTGCAGTCTCAGAAACCAACTAGATGGGCTTCATCTTCTTGTTTTAGAACAGCGGCCGACTTTATTGGCGTTCACTGGGACATGGCGGTCAGCACATCCGTCGGACTAAGCGGCTCAACTTCTACGTTATCAGCCTTATTTGATCTGCAAGAAGCAGCTCAAGACGTGGGACAGGTGTAATCCTCTAACTCGATTCCTACCTCAATTTCAACCTTTTACAACGGACTGCAAAACGGACTTAGCGTCAGAAGTACATTGGTGTTGAATGCACCATGGCTTTCAGTCGCTGACGGTACGCGTGGTCTTTAGCTCCCAACAACCGCCAGCTCCCTCCTACTGCACTTATTGAGAAATAATGCTAAGGGCACGAACTGTCGGCTTATGGGGAGGTCAATACTCTTAGCATCAACTAGGGCATAATTCA